GGACCGGGGGTCTGGGAGGCAGCGCCCGGCCGCGAGGGGGAACCAACATGGCGGCGAGGAAGATGACAAGCAAAGGGGGACCCCCTCCTCTGTCCTCCACTACCCCCCCACCTCCGGGAGCCCCCCGGGGGCGCCGGCGGCAACACTCACTGAGCACGAGGACAGGGCGCGGGCCCATCATTGCGGCGGCTCAAGCGCGGCGCCCGGCGCGGAACCTTCTGGAGACAGCGAAGGCGAGGCGCACACTCCGAGAACTGCCGCTTCACCCTGCCCCGCCTCCCGCCCCGCAATGACCAATCCCGCACCGCGCCGCCGACCCGCCGTCCAATAAGGAGGCGGTGCTCCTCCTCGTCCTCCGCCTCCCTGGCGCTCACAGCAGGTTCGGTTGAGAAGCGAGGCCCCAGCGCATGGGGCCGCGGCGCGTTGGGCGGGGCCGCGTGGGACTGCGCATGTGCCGGCTGCCGGCGCCGCGCGAATGGACGATGCCGGGGGGAATCACTGCACGTACCCAAAGGGGTCGGAGGAGCAAACGTTAGGCGGTCGCATGGGGGACACTCTCGTGCCGCGCTCCCCTTTGCATCTGGAAGGCGCCGTAGCCGGGATGCGGCGGCTCCACCGGTGAGCTGGGGGGCGGATCGCGTCTCCGAGATCCGTCTGTGGAAGGGAAGTCCTCAAAGCCCACCCCCCTTCCTGTCAGCGCCGTGGTCTCGCCCATCCCGCGCCGCCACCGCCTGCCGCGGGGCATGCTGGGAGGGGCAGTTCCTGAGGCCGCGGCCGACCCCCATCGCCTTCCCCAGCCGCTGCTCTGCCCCACCGCGGCCCCTTCGGCGTCTCAGAGGCAGAAGCGGAGCTGCCTGGTGGGACCTGAGACCCTCCCAGTGCCCCGGAGGCTTTCGTTTTCGCCTTAGAGTCCTCGGCCTCCAGCTGAGGCATCCCCACAGCAGCCATTTCTGTCACGGTGCACTTCGTCAGGCCCCTCCAATTGTTCAGTGTTAATTACAGGGAAAGAGGGTGCAAAACCAGTTCCGTTTGCCCTTTCACAGCCAGTGCGCCTAGAAAAGTTTTCAGCTTGTCTGATTTTTTTCCCCCTTGTTCTGCTCAATAACAAGGCTTTGTCTACTTCCCTCATAATTACTTGCTCTCTTCCAGCTCACATAGACCCCCCCAACTGTTAGCCAGGAAGAAAAACACATAGAAGTAGGTTGGATGCATTAACCTCTGATAACCAACTGCTACTTGAGTATGGTGCTTTGCAGAGAAATTCAACCCTCTCCTTTGTAAAAAGCCCTAAGCTTCTTAGGCCAAGGACAGGTATTTTCTCAGCGTTCGTGTGATGGAGTCCTAGTCTATCCTGGCACTGCAGCAAACCCTGCCGAGGTGTGGGGGAGAGAAGCCCAGCCTGTGGTTACACTGCCTCAGTGTACATCAATTTAAGCTCTGTGATGCTTTCCGTAGTCCGCAGCTTGGATAAGCTCTGCGTGGGTCAGCAGGGAAAGAAGAAAGTGGGTGTATGGAGAGCTATTGGCAAAGATTGGGAGCAGGGAACTTTGATAAAAGAAAGAGTACGAGGTGGTACATGGAGCCAGCGGCTGGGACCCTGGAGAGGTGGATTCATGTGCTGTGTGGATGCCCCATCTCTGGAAGCGTTTCAGACCAGGTCAGATGAGTCTCTCAGCAGCCTGGTCTAATGGAAGGTGTCCCTGCCCATGGCAGGGGGGTTGGAACTAGATGATGTTTAAGGTCCCTTCCAACCCAAACCATTCTACAATTCTATGATCTGTGTGTGTGAGGAGGAATATGTGTACAGAGGTGTGGATTTGTGGTCCTTCTCCCACCAGAGTTCTGCAGGCAACTGCCTGAGAAACATGGAACAGGTGACCTCTCAAGGCTTCCTCCAGCACTGAAAATCGGGCCCTGTGGCTTTCTCTTTTGTTACTGGTTTTGCAACAGGGAGGTCAGGACATTTCCTAATCTGTCGGAAACAGAAGGGTGGAGCATCTCTGGTGTGGGGTTAGTTAAGCAGAGCGTCCCCGATACATGAAGGTATAGTTCTGGGGTCTGTGCACTAGGAGAGGCGTCCCACCTGACGTTTGAGGAATTTAACACTGATCCTCCTCCCTTCTATCCTCCTCTTCTCCCTCATCGCTTTACAGAGCCTCTATGCAGTTGGCAGGACTGGTGAGCTGGGTGGAGCTGCTGGCCCTCCTCCTCTTAGGTGTGCTGCTGCTGCTTGTTGAAGTACTTTTCCGAGCCATGGTGGTCATTGGGCTTCTGCTCTACATGCTTGTCACTAACTGAAGACAAAGTGGGGAGGGCGCCTCTTTTTCCCCTTGTTCCCAGAGCTCTTGAAGAAGGCGACAAGAGGAGAATCACACCGACCTCAAGAACAGATGGAGAGAAACGTAAGCGGTAGCCAAAGGAAGAGGGGAGGTATGGCTGCCTTCTGGCTTCCTATGTTACATCCTTGCTTGGCAGCTTTGTTGTCTTCACTCCCAAAGCAGTAACTTCAGCAATGGGCCTCCAGCAAACCCAAATCACAGGTTCAGGCTGCTTGTCCCCTTCCCCCTAAGGGGAAGCCGAGTCCTGCCAAGGTGCATTCCTTCAGCCTGCACCTCCCAGGTGCAAGCCTGTCCTGCTGCGTATCAAAACCCCAGCGAGCCATGCCTGAGGCTCCAGGACCTGCCCTGTGCGGGGCGGCTCCACTGCGGGGTCTGGGGTAGGGCAGGGGGCGGGGGGCAGCGCTCTGTTCTCCCCCGGAGGGTTTGGAAGCGGTATTTTTGGACTAAAAGCTGGTGTTCTGCAGACAAGTGCTTCAACCCTCTTCCCCCGGAGGGAAGCCCCAGAGCGACACGAGGCCGGGCAGCGGCCGGAGAGACGGGCTCTGCGCAGGCGCGGAGTCGTCGCCCCCCCCACTGGCGGGCGGGCTAAGACTACATTTCCCAGGCTGCCGCGGGCCGCCGCCGAGGCGCCATTTTCCGGTCTGCCGTGTTTCCGCTGCCTCTGCGCTGACACGGCCTTCCGCGGGGCAGGGACGGTGAGGGACCGGTGCTAGTTGTAGGGCGGGGGGCTTCGTGGGGAGGGACTGGGGGTCGGGGAGGAATCTGTGGAGGGAGGAGCTTGGTGGAGTGTCTCCTGATTTCTGGAGGCGGGGGGTCCTGGGAAGGGTCTGTGAGGGTGGCTTGGGCGTGGGTTTGAGGGGATGTGAGGGACCAGCCAGGGTCTTCTGCTGTCGTGTTGGTGTCTGGGTCTCCTGCAGGCAGCGGTCGGTGAAACTGGGCGGTTCTTTGGCATGGAGCAGTATCTCTGAGCTTACCTTTGGGTCTCTGGGCTGTGTGGGTGTGTAGGAGCAGCCTAGAGTGGAAATGCTGGAGTAAAGACTGTGGCAAGGGAGTATTGAGGAGAAGGAAAGGTCCTGGGGCATAGAGAGTGGAGGCTCTGGCATATGAGCAGTTTTTGCATTTAAAAGCACTAACAAGTTTCCTAATGGGTTGCATGTATAATGACGGTGTTTCCTTGTCCGCTCAGCAGGGCAGCTCCATAGGTGCTAGGCTCAGGGGAACTGGGACACGTGGCCTGAAGCAGGGACTTCTGGGGACCAAAAGGTCGCTGGAGGGAGTTGGTGGTACCTCAGTGGCTGGAAATAGGAAAGAATAACAAATGTTTGAAATGAGGAGCTACTACTTTCTGATAAGAACAGAGGATTTGATGGGAAGAAGAGCTAACTCTGTTGTACAGCAATTAACTGGTAATTGCTGAAACTGGTGAAACTGTTAATTGCCAAAGCTTTTGTTCTGAAAGTTACTAGAAGAAGCTTTGTGGTCTGAGACCTTGTCAATTACTGAGTTGTGATAAAGGGGAGTGATACTTGTTGGGGTTTTGAAAAGGGAGAAAACCGTTGTCTTCCATGCCTGCTGATCTGGGACATTGCTGTGCCACTTCCTACATCCTTGTAGGAGAGTGTAGAGGTATTTCAGGGGCAGTTGCAGACTTGCGTGGAACCATGGTAATTTTCTGCCAGCTTGTGATAATCCTTTATCAGTATTGCTGTGAAGTATACAGGTGTTCATGTCTTACTACACATGAATGCCTGAATTGTCTTGTTTAGTTGTCCTGTTTGTGTTCTTTTTGTAATTAAATTATCAATTACATTCCATTTTCTTTTGCTTCTAGATGAAGCTCCTGGTTCTTGCTGTGTTTGCCCTGTTTTATGTGGCCCACTGTGAGGAAGGTGCTAGGCTCCTGGCCTCCAAATCTCTGTTAAACAGATATGCAGTGGAGGGTAAGGACTTGACTTTGCAGTACAACATCTACAATGTTGGCTCCAGGTGAGTCTTGTCCAGGCTTCTGATACTGACCAGGAGCAAATGTTATGTGTGTGCGTCTACAGGGTATGAGACTTATTTCTAGGCTCCATGATGTGCTCTTACCTTTGCTCCCCCTAACTCTGAGCTTACCAGCAGTGCTTGAAGGTTTGACCCTGCGATTTGCCTTTTTCTTCCTGTTCCATTGTCCCTGCTTTCATTGTTTCCTGATTTCACCTCGTGGCTGCTGTAGCTGTTGGTCCAACATGGTGTAGTTACTTTTGTGTCTTGTGACACTCTGCTCCCCATGCATGCAGCCTCCCTTTCTTGGCTTCTTGAGGTCTTTTTCATGTCTGGTTTCCTGTCTTTTTTGCAGTTTCTCTCAGCTTTGCCTTCCTCTTTCTGTGGTCTCCCTGCAATACACCTTGACTCTCCTCCCCATCTTCTATTGGTGACTATGTTTCAAATACCAGTTCTTCCAGCTGCTGAATTGCCAGTATGGAACTGTCATCCCTCTTTGGTGCAGTCCCCCGTGAGTAGAGTGACAAGTCTAAGATTCTCTTCTCGTCCCTTTCTTTGTTGCCTTTAGTGCTGCTTTAGATGTGGAGCTGTCAGATGATTCTTTCCCCCCAGAAGATTTTGGCATCGTCTCTGGGATGCTCAATGTCAAGTGGGACAGGATCGCTCCGTATCTTTTCATGTTTTGAAATTTCTCCCAACACTCCTTCTTACCCCAAGCATCCTGTAGCTCTCCTGTCTTCAGCTGTCACTGAAATTCCAGCATGCCAGACCCTGGGCAGGGTACTGAATGCAAACCTCTGGTCTCCTTGAAGGTGCTTTGTTTAAAAAAAAAAAAAAAAAAAAAAAAAAAAAGTTCCTTGCAAACAGGGCCAGGTCCATGTGCAATTCATCTGCTGGGAAGGAGGAGCAGCTGGATCAGCCTTGGATGGGTCTGGATGTCTGTAACCACAGAGGACTCAGATCTGTCAGCAGGAGTGACTTTTCCACCTCATTCGAGGCTCCTTACCTATCTCCTCACTTTTCTTCCTCTGAATTGCAACTATTTTCCTTAATTTATGGCTCTCAGAGCAAGTAATGTGTCCCACACTGTGGTTCTGCGGCCTCTCAAAGCTGGTTACTTCAACTTCACCTCTGCTACCATCACGTACCTGGCACAGGAGGGTGGACAGGTTGTGGTGAGTTGACTGTTTATAGGATCCTTTCCCAAATTGGACAGCAGATGATGCACCTGACTGTGCTGTTTGAGCTGCTTGTTAGGGGATGATGCATGTCCCTGCACTCTTATACTGCACAGACTCTGTTGCAAGAAAGAAAGGTAGCAAATGCTATCTTTTCCCCCCTACCTTTTTCAGGTTGGTTTCACTAGTGCTCCTGGGCAGGGAGGAATCTTGGCTCAGCGTGAGTTTGACAGGAGGTTCTCCCCTCACTTTGTAAGTACCTTTCAACTGGTAATTGAAATTGCACTGCAGCAACTGTGCAACCCAGCACAGCGGCTTTTTGCCAGTTTGTGGTGTGTTTGGTTTGCACTACAGTCACCTAGAAGTGGTGTTGCAACATGGATTGCAATGAATCCGTATCAGTTGTCCAGAAGAGTATCACAGAAAAAGCAAAGAGTTTTATCCCAGCTACCCCTGTGAAGGAGCTGGCACTGTGGGATTTGAGCCAGAAGCTTTGAGAGTAGAAGACCTGATGGCTGTAAGACTCATCTGTACATGACTTGTTTTGACTTTTTTCTAACAATTTCTCCTTCTAGCTGGACTGGGCAGCTTTTGGTGTGATGACCCTGCCCTCCATTGGGATCCCACTGCTGCTGTGGTACTCAAGCAAGAGAAAGTATGACACCCCCAAAACCAAAAAGAACTGAGCAAAGTCAAATGCCACCAGCACCTCAGAGCTCAGGAAAGAACAAACATTAACGCACCCAGAACTGCAGGTGTGTTGGGATCAGCAACAGTCCCCCCTGCAAAGCGCTGCCTGGGCTGTGCTTCAGCCCTGTTGGCAAGAGGGAATCAAGTGCTTCAATGGCAGTGATGTGTTGTCTTCCACATTTTTAAAAAGAAATAAGCAAACAAAACAAAAAAAAAAACCCCACCGAAAAAAATCCCCGACTCCCTTGTCTGCATATTTGGAGCAGAGACCCATCACTCCATTGCAGACATAGTGCCAGCACGTCTGTGATGATACGAATGTGTTAACATCCAGAGGAGTTTGCGGGGGGTGCAGCCCTGCAGTGTTTCTGACATCGGTGCTGCCTTTGGGGCTCTGTTGAGCCAAATGGGTCTTTGCCTGCTGCAGTCTTCTCAAATGTATTAAATCTCAGGGCCCTCTCCTCCGAGTGCTGCCTGCCTTGCTGAAACATTTGTGGGAAGCAGCTCTACCTAGTGACAAAAACGTGTCTCCTTTTGAGAGATGCTTCTTAGAACTGCTGCTTTGCTAAGTGGGGCACGGGAGGTCCCTGTAGATGCTTGTTCTCTAGGAAGCCCCATTGCATTTTGCTGAGCAGTTAATTGCTGTGGTTTTGTTCTTTCTGGTTGCTCTGTTAAGGGTTGAGGTACTGAGGATTTTGTAATAAAATGAACACCATGAAAGAAGCCTGCCTTTCTTTTACCAAGAAGTCCTGGAGGCACCTGGCTGCCTTCAGAAGCAGCTAATGGACATACAGTCAGTAAAATAAATCACTATTGATAAAATAAATGGAAGAGGGAAAGAAGGGCCCAGAAGGCCTGGTCCCTTGCACCAGCTTTTCTGACAACTCCAAGCCCTAGTGTAAGATTTCTCTTCACAGCTGTAAGTAAATGTGGCTGCATGTTGAGCATTCATTTGTGCTTTTCCTACGGGAGAGGTGGTGGCACAGTGGGGGCCTGCAAGTGGTGAGAGGTGGTTGGTTTCTGCCCTGGGCTTTGGGCAGGGAGGCAGTGGCTGTTCATATGTGGCTGTGCTCCTGGGGCACTGTGTGGCTTGGTGTGGCCAGTTGCTGGAGGCCAGGTGCCCACCAAAGCCTCTCTATCACTCCCCCCACCTCAGCTGGACGGGGGAGAGAAAATATAACAAAAGGCTCATGGATCAAGATAAGAACGGGGAGAGATCATTCAATCAATTCCTGTCACGGGCAAAACAGGCTCGACTTAGGGAAAATTAACTTAATTTATTGCCAATCAAACCAGAGTAGGGTAATGAGAA